CAAGTGTGGATGGTAAAATGCAGACGCCAGCGGCAACCATTCTTAAGATGACACACTGAAGATCTGACGATGAAACCCATTAATTTAAAGGAATTAAAAGCAGAAGTTTTTTTTGTGTGGGGAGAGATAATTTTGTAAAGATCAGAGTAGAAATGGATATGGGATAATAAATGTGATGATTTTTTTAAATGAAAAGAACATTATCACAAAATTCCCTGTCCTACCCCTGAACAGTATGAAGTACTTGCCGATCTGAGACACTGAAATTAAATGAAAGAAACATATTGTTCCTTTCCTTCCTTCTTTTTTTCATTCCTCCCTCCCTCTGCTTCCTACAGGTCTCATGTAGGTTAGGTTGGTCTTGAACTCTCTATGTAGGTGTGGATGACCTTCAACTTCTGATCCTCCTTCCTCTACTTCCCGGGAGAGCTGGAATTGCAGGTGTGCTCCACCATGCCTGAGCTGATGTAGTGCTAGAGATCGAACCCAGTGCTTTGTGCGCCTATCAACTGAATTACATCCCTAGCCCCTCCAGGAAGATTTATTTTTTAAACAAAGAAGCTTTATCTGCAAGGACGTAGGTTCCAAAGTTTGGGAATGATGTGTGGCTGTGTGAATAAAGTTGAGTCCTTACCTTCTCCAGGGGAAGTTTTGATAGCTGACATGGAAATGAATTCGCTGTAGCCACGGGAAGAAGAGGTGAGGGTCACGGGCAAGCAGTGTGGAAGGGGAACTGTGGCAGAGATGATGAAAGGCAGATTTGTGCATACAAAACCAGGGAAAGTCAGGGGCGGGGAGTGGGAAACACGGGGCTGCAAGTTACTGCTGTTTTCTTTTTTTTTTTTTTTGTCACTGAAGTCTTTGACTCAGTGGGGCAGAGGCTGGGCATGGTGATGTGAGGGACCGTGGGAGGAGGTTTAGCAGGTGACCTCACTCAGGCGCCTTTGGTTTTTCCTCACCTCCTGGGCCAGGAGCTTGAGGAGTGATCTCAGCACGCACTGATCCTGCCCCGTGAGCCTTTTGCAATTCGTTCTGTTTCTTTCTTTGATCCAAAAGATTAGTGTGTTATTCATCACCTCTCTGTCTGGAGGGCGCAGACAGGCAGGATTTGGAGGAGTCCTGGGAGATCTATTAGAGGCTGTATCTAGAGGCAGAGGGCATCCAACCCAGTTTTGCCCACTGATAATCCAGAGAAATTCTGCAGAAATCCAGGGAAAGCTATTGTTTGAGATGGACCTTCAGCCCGCCTCGTGGCATGCTCACAAGTCTGGGAGCATTTTGTATGTCACCAGGGAATGTTGGTTTTCATGTGATGCCACTTCTCAGACAGCTACAAAGTCAACACACAGCCGGGACAATTAAGTGTCAAGTGTGCAAGAGCATCACAATCACAGGCTGTAAATCTCACTTCCTGTGGCTTCCCCCATGGTGCAAAATGACCATAAAGTCTTGGTTTCTATCCTGCCAACGGTGCCGTTTTAGTAGAAGATGCCCCGAAACCGCAGTGTGATGCTGTAGCCAGCAAAGCGGAGCAAAGGTTTTGGCTCTGTGCTGGCTGCTTCCCTTGCTGCTATGATCAAACAGTCGATAGATGCAACTTCAGACGGTTTATCTGGGCTCCCAGTTGGAGGGTGCCACGGTGGGAAGGCGTGGTGTCAGGAGACTGAGGCAGCTGGTCACATTTCACCCACAATCAGAAGGCAGAGAGAGATGGATGCTGGTGCTCAGTTCATTTTCTCCTTTTTTGTCTAGTCCAGCACCTCAGCACACAGGATGGGGACACCCACATTTATGGTAGGTCTTCTCATCTGTATAAATCCAATGTATAAACTAAATCTCAGACATGCTTAGACGGACAGGCAATTTCTTCTCTTGTGAGAGATGAAGTGTAAATTAATAGTTGTGGGGAAATTGCTTGTGTGTTTGAGAAATGGGGAAAAGACTTCATTATTGATTTCTGTTTTCCTAAGGTGAAGGCGAGGAATTCAAATCAGTGCAGAACCACGTGGTTTCCTAAAGGTGGACTTCACACAGGTGGATTTGCATTTTTCATTCTCGTTTACTCCCTTACTGAACGAGGGTGTAATAGTTTCCCACCTCGTGCCCCACATTCTTCTAGCCCTGGCTGCTGCCCTCATAGATCTCACAAGTCCAAGCAAGTGTGACATACCCACGGAGCAGCCACATCACATGCTAATGTATGTGGGGCTGAGGACAGGCACAACAGGGTACCAGGTCCTGGGTTTGGAAGGCTTCTCTGAATAAGTGACTTTGAAAGTAAAGGCTGAGCCTGTTTATCAGCAAAAGAGGGTGAGGTGCTTGCTTTGGAAGTGTATATACTAAAATCAAAGCCATACAGGAAAAAAATCAGCATGCTCCCTGTACAAGGATGATATACAAACGTGTGGAGTATTTGATAGTTTTGTATAGTAAGTGTTGCTTTAATGCAGTGTTAAATGGTAAATTTTGTATGATATTATACTACATTTTTTTAAAGATTTATTTTTAATTTTGAGTGTGTGGGTATGTATGACTGTGTGCAGTGCCCATGGAGGCCAGAAGACAGAGCCCTTTGGAGCTCGAGTTACAGGTGGCTATGAGCTGTTAAATGTGGATCCTGGGAACCAAACCTGTATCCTCTGGAAGAGTCAGCAGGCTCTTTTAACTTCTGAGCCATCTCTCTAGCCCTCTTACACTATAGTTTTCACAAAGGGCCAGTGGGGTTGGGGAGGCCCTTTTGCAAGGAGAAACAGAAGGCACAGGGTTAGTGGACAGAGAGAAGCCAGAAGGCTGGTTTGGCAGGATGTGGTGTGGGACCAGATAAGTCTGGAGGTGCAGGCAGAGGATGGGTCACACAGAATCCAGTTATGGATCTCTGTGCTGAGACTAGTGGGAAGTGAGTAGAGAGCTTCCATCAGGGCAATGCTATAATGTGTGTTTAATTTATTATTTTTATTTTATGTATATGAGTGCTTTGCTTGCATGTATGTAAGTGCACCCATGTCATACAATGCCACAGAGGTCAGAAGAGGGTGTTGGGTTTCCTGGAATTAGAGGTAAGGATGGTTGTTAGCTGCCATATGGGTGCTGGGATCTGAAACCTGGTCCTCTGCAAGAGCAGTCAGTGCTCTTAAACCACCGAGCCATCTCTCCAGTCTTTTATTTTTTAAACCACCCTGGACGAGGTTGAAGAGTGAGTGACTGATGACTTGGAAAGGTGTCTGAGTCTTTTGGGAGAGAGGTGGGTGCTACTGTACTCTCATTCAGGTTGTGATAGAAGTGGAGAGAGCTGAGAAAGTTCTAGGGCAAAAGGCTAAACTTGTTGATGAGTTGTTTGGGTAGATGAGGGAAGGAAACATCTGTGTGATGGAATGAAGGTGGTGGCATCTGGGGTGGGAAGCCTAGAAAGAAGAGATGGCTCCTGGTTCTTTATGTGGACAGGCTGACATTGTACCTGAGATGATGCTTGCAGTTGCCAGTTGAGGGTAGGGTGGGGAGTCCGTGCTTGCAACTTGATTGGTGCACTGAGACTTGCTCTAAGTTCTGTCTGGGTCCCTGGGCACTACCTGATTCGAGGCATAGCACTGTTCTGAAACTGCCTTTCATGAATGTGTAAAGACTTAATAACTCTCCAAGAGAAAAGAATCCAGTCACTCACTCTTCTTTACACAGCAGGCAGGCCCACTCCACCAAGCAGATGACACTAACAATTTTTTCCTCATTTGAATAGCTGCTCCCTAAAAGTTATATAGGTTCTGCGACTGAAACTTGGGTGAGCCTTCCATGGGATAGGTGTTAAAAAAAAAATGAGGCTGGGGGCTGGGAAGATGGCTCCAATTGGTAAAGTACTTACTGTGCAAGAATAAGGGTCTAAATTTAGATCCCCAGATCTCGTGTAAAAAATCTGGGCACCACCTGTAGCTAAGGGAAACAACCTGCTACTGTTCTAAAATGATGAATAAATTTGTTTTCTCTCTCTATCTAGAAGGCTTTGAGAGGGAACTGACACTGATTCTAACCACTCCAACAGCCATCAAAATGCCTGAAAGCAAATCCTGAATCCATCACTCTGGAGTCCAGCCTTGGCAGACAAAAGAAAAATGAGGAAGAACCCAATAGAGGGATGCTTTTGAAAGCCCTTGTCAAGAAATCCCAGTGGACTCTCTATGAACATTTGAAATTTGCCATATTCTGACTTTCTTTTTTCTAGTTCCCTGTCTAGAACTTGTAATGTTAATTACTCTTGCCTTTACTTCTCCTTCACATTTCCTATTCACGATTCAAGGACTTTCTTTTCCCCCTACAGATAAGAGTTATGCAATTTGGACGTCTTTTAGATAGACCCACTGAAGGGGTACTCCAATTGTCTTACCTTGCATCCCTGTTCAGCCTGGAAGAAGCCAGAGTGGTCTGCATCCCGATTCCCTATGCTCAAGCTGGGTAACCTCTTCAGAGGATGGTGTGATAAGAATAGGAAGTAGGAACTGGCTAGGCAGTTAGGGTAAAAAGACCCCAAAGAAAAGTGTCCAATTTCTTGGCTAAAAGTTACAATGTCCTTGGGCATCTTAGCAACTACTCCATTCCAAAGGCCAAAAATGTTGAAAATATTTGAGAACTTTTATCTAATCCTTAAAAGATTTTAGGGTTACCTCTTCAGAGGGGGAAATGGTAGAGTAGCCAAAAGCCCCATAAAAAAATAAAGAGTACATGAAGTTATCAGAATAAAAAAGTAATGGGAAGATGTGGGAGAGGTTGGAGCAGAGGGAGTGGCGTGGGCATGGATTTGGTCAAAACACCTTATATGCATGTAAGAAATGTGTATGAAATTCTCAATAAATTATTTTTTTTAAAAAAGAAAAAAAAATAGGTATATGAAGAAGCAAAATAATTGATGTAGGATAACAGAATGTGTAGGGTACTCATGGCATGTTCAGAAATTTCCAGTGTATGAATGCACACAATAAATTACAAATAAATAATTTTTGGAAAGGGGAGAATTTAGAACAAATTCGACTGACATGTATGTGAAAATGCCAAGTGAAGCCTGTTACTAGACACCATGATTTAAAAATGAATCAAAACCTAAACCTTCCTGGTGTGGTTGCTCACACTGTAATTCCGGCCCTCAAGAGGCAGAGGTAGAGGGATCTCTGTGAGACCACAGTCAGCCTGTGCTATACTGTAAGTTCCAGGTCAGCCTGGGCTAGCGTAAAACCCTACCTCAAAAAATAGGGCTGGAGATATGTAGCTCAGTTGATAGAATGCCTAGCATGAAACCTTGGGTTTGATGCCCAGCATCACATAGAGCTGGTCGTGGAAGTCCATGCTATAATTCCAGCACTGGAGAAAGGCAGGCAGGAATATCAGAAGTACAAGATCATCCCAAGCTACATGGCAAGCATTGGCTCAACGCCGCCTACATCAGATCCTGTCTTAAAAAAATAAACTAATGATAATACAAAAAAAAAAAAATCTGGGCATAGAGGCACATGCCTATAACCTCAGTGAATGGAAGGCAGACACAGGAGGGTCCCTGGGAACTTCTGCTAGCCAGTCTAACTGAATCAGTGAGCTCCAAGTTCAATGAAACCCTGGATCAGTAATAAGGTGAACAATTGAGGAAGATACCTAACATCAGCTTCTGGCCTCCTCCATACATATACATGAACACACACACACACACACACACACACACACACACACACAAACCATAAGCGCCACAAACAAGCAAGCAAACCCCTCCAACTCAACATCCCCCCCTAATTAGGCTTGAGTATGGACAGGTGGGGAGCCATCTATGTATTCAAGTCTGGGCCTTCAGAGCCAAGGGTGGACGTTTTCTGAAAGCCTCTGGAATGTCAACATACGGGGCAGACACTGGGTGCTGAATGATGGAGGCTCATCAGGTCCAGTCACAAGGCTTCAGTCTCTGGGGCAGCTGTCTTTTTGTTTAATGATCTTGGAAAAATCACAACATACGTGGTTGAGATCCACTTGAGGCAGAACAGCACTGTGTTTGTGAACATCTCACCTCCCTTCCTCTAGCTTCTCTGTAACCACCAGGCCGTTCTCTGAACTAAGTCCACTCTATTCATTCCCTGCTGATGAAAGATGTGTAAAGGCTTCCACTGAACAATCAAATGTCAAGAGACACGTAGGGCACACCACCTAGGCAACCAAGCATGTCGTAAATGCTTGCCGTTAGTCATGCATGCCTGAAGAAATAAACATTCTCTGGATTGAATGACAGCCTGTTAATTATGCCTGGTGGCAGGGGTGCCTGGAGAGATGGCTCAGCAGTTAAGAGCACTGGCTGCTCTTGCAGAGGAACCAGCTTTGAGTCCCAGCACCCACATGGTGGCTAACAACCATCTGTAACCCCAGTTCCAGGGACTCTGATGCCCTCTTCTGACTCCCTCAGGCATTGCATGACACAGGTGGACTTACATACATGCAGGCAATACTCTCAATACACACAAAAGAAAAGAGGTAAATAAAATATTTTAAAACTTATGCCCACAAATAGTTTTCTCACAGTACATAAAAGTGTTTAGGCAAAATTCAGGGGCAAGTTTGGAGATTTAACTGGCTGAAGTAGCTGGTCATAATCAATTTACAAGTGTATAAGAGTGAATGAGACTCGCGGTTTGCAACAGTGACTCACCCTCAGATTTGTGGTGACTGTGTGCTGAGGAAAATGTATTCACAAGGGTCAGTCATAGTGACCTTGGTGTGTCTGCTAGAAAACACAACACTGCTTATAAACAGCAATACAGATACAACACAGTATAAGTAAGGTTGCCCTTAAATAAGTATGATAAACATTGTTTTCTGAGATGGGGTCTCCCTGTAGCCCCAGCTGGCCTGGAATGCACTATGTAGACCAAGCTGGCCTCAATCTCACAGAGATCCAACCTGTCTCTGCCTCCTGAGTGCTGGGATTAAAGGTGTGCCACCACATCTGGCTTTATGATGAGCACCTTTAAAGAAAGCATTTTGTTTGGCAATGGGAGATGTGACACCAGGAGTGTAGGAAAAGGGCCAGGAGGAGGATGGGCAATGCGTGCTATTCTCTGATTCCACACTCACCAAGCTCCATTTGATTCTAAGGTTTGCTGTGTGGAAGGCACCAAGAAGCTGGTGTATGGACTCTGAGTCACCCAATGAAAATATTCCTTGTTGCAAATTGTATGGTGGTATTCAGTCAAATGAACTGACCCATATGCTAGTGCTAGTCAGTTCAGTGGCTGCTAAACTGTTTGGATCTTTCTTATGAGTTCCTAGTTTATGGGGAAGCAGGAGACTTTAGGCATACCAACAAACAGTATCTTAGTTTAAACAAACCATTCTAAGTTTGAATTTTGACCTGTTTAAAGTTCTATCTCTTATCAAGTCTGGTGAACATGCTCTCTCTTACCTGGTTC